TCTTGACAAGCTATTCTATTCTATTTCGTCCTTTAAAGATATTTTTTATGTTTTTACGACTCTACCGACACAGTTTAGACTATTTTGGAAAGGGGGGGGGGGGGGAGTCAACCTGGGCTGAGAGAGATACAACATCCCAGCAGACAGACAGAGATAGTCGATTTTAAAAAATTCTCCCCACTCGGGAATCGAACTCGGGTCTCCCTTCTGCAGTGTCATCCTGCGTGCGACTGCGCTCATCATCTCTAGACTTGATTCTCCCACCCTTTGGTCGGTTCTATAACCCTCAAACAGTTACTTATTAAAAGAAAATTAAAGAACACACAAAAAGCAAAGATCTTGTAAGATCTTCCGAAATTTGAATTCTAGTTTATTAAAAACTAGTCTCAGTTTCACTGGGATTTTTTCTCCCCGAGTAGGGTAAGCCTAACTTATCAAGCTTTCGATAATTTAGCAAAAAAATCTTTTGGGCGCCAAAATGAATAAAAGTCATTTTGTCAGCTTACGACAGAGAAAGGGTTCTGGTCCAGGTCTTCCTGTTCGGCTCTTTCAATCTTCTCGACCTCTCAATATGGGCAACATCTGATTGCCATCGTGGTGAAATCAGGCTGTCGTCAAAATTTTGAAATCAAAGAAACTGGCGTTTTTCTAGCCGTGTAGCAGTTTTGTTATATTTTCTTTTATTGACTCAACACTTTTCACGTTCATTTAAAAACACATTTCTCTGTGCATTTTACTGAAAAACATTGATTAAAGACACACAAAAATGTAATTTTTTTGTATCCAAGGCTTCTCAAGCCATGGAAATTTGCAAACTTTTGGCGGCCATTTTCTCACTAATTTTACCCCTGAAACCTCCTTCAGTCGCAAATATCTCAACTTCTACGAAAAATACATGATATTTTTTTTTTCCACCGAAAGCAAGATAAATGAACAAGCTTTAAAATGATACCAATAACTCCATATGCCGAAAAATTGACGAGCGCCTGATTCCGTCACGTCTTGCTACAATTGATTGTGAGCCAGCTGGGAAAATGAATCAACCGGTGGGAAAGTAACCGATGCTTTCGGCTTCCGTCATCAGTTTGCCTTTAAAGAGTCCCCCCCCCCCCCCCGAACATGTCCATGTAACAGCTTATTTTCAATAGAAGATTTCCGCCTTTGTTGACTTACCCTTAAGTTTTTATCAACAGAACTCGGTTAAGCGAAGTTGAGGAGATTGATTTTGTCGTTTGTGTACGTGCTCTGTTGTCATTTGTGTGTCTATTTTGTTGTCGTCCGTGTGTCTGTTTAATATCGTCAGTGTGTCTGCTCTATTGTTGTAGTTTTTTTTTTCGTGTGTAAATCTTACTGTTGTCTGTGAGTCTGTTTTTATTGTCTATTTTGTTGTCATCTGTGTGTCTTGTTTTATATCGTCTGTGTGTCTGCTCTATTGTTTTAAGCGTGTATGTCTTGTTGTTGTTTGTGTGTCTGTTTTATTGTTGTCTGTGTGTCTGTATTGTTGAAATTCATTTTCCGTTTTTATTATGAGTCTGTTCTGTTATCGCTTGTGTCTGGTCTAAGTGAGTTTTGTTGTCTGTATGTGTGTTCTGTTGCTATGCGTTGCATCATCTAAGTGTCTATTTTGTTTTCATCTGTTTTGCCCTCTTTACGTTTGTGCGTGTGCCCGTAAGTTGGGGGGGGGGGGGGAGTTGGTTGTCTTTGCCTTTTACGCTTATAGTACTGTACTTGATCTGTTTCAAAACGGGTATCATCAGAACAATTCCTTACTAAAACTTTCTATTCTTTCTTTTCAGTATTGTTATGATTCTGGAGACCATTAGTCCGGACAGATTCTCTCTGGACTTCACTTGTACAAGCCAGAAAACACGAACTATTGAGGACAGTCAGGACGTGATCGTCGTACCGCCACAGACTTCAGAGATAAAGAAAACAGACGAGGGTGGTCAATGACAAAACCTGATGTTTGTGGAAGTGGAAGCTTCTTTTCCCATTCTCTGCGCCTGACATGTTGCGCTTACATGGATACCTTGGATCCCAGCCCCTCAGAGTTTAAGCTGAAAGAGCAGCTGATTGAGAGACAGTGACGTTATTTTTTACCTCAGCGACGAATTGTGAGTCGTTGTGTACGGCCCTCCTACTGTCAGTCCCACTCCCCCTCCCCAAATCCCTTTCCCAATCTCTGCCTCTGTCCCTCACCCCCCCCCCTCTCACCCCCCATTCCTCTCCCCAACCACTACCCCTGTCCCTCACCCCACCCCCTCTCCCTCTCCCCAACCTCTGCCCGGTCCCTATCTCACCCCCTCCTCCCCCCGACTTCTAACCCCAAATAATGTTCTAGATCTAATTCACTTCATGATGCACTCGGTGCTCGGCTAACAAGGCTCGCAAATCGCTACTCCGCTCATTACGACCTGTCGAGTCGTCGAGTGCACGAGTTTGCCTAATTGTTTTGTTCTCTTGTTCTTCTCTCGCGTGTTGCATTCTGCGCCGCTTGGTG